TCCGATTTTGATAAGTTATAATTTAATACATTTCTGACTGCGGTTTCACATTAATATGGAATGTAAATAATTGTATACAAATAATTTATTAGTGCTCAAAGAATTCCATACACGCAATGTGAGAATGCCACTCAACATAATTACACCGGGCCACACCTAAAACTAATCATAAGTATTTATTTTTTAACCATCCGTTATATTTTTATAATATATTACCTGTACATCTGAAATAGAACGATTTCAAATTACTATCAATTTTTATTCCAAAAAAAATTTAATTAAAATTTTGATCAAAGTATTTTTATCGAGGTTAATGTAATTATTATTTTATATTCTGAGAAAAGTTCATTGTCAAGGTTTCGTCATGGATCATGTATCGTACAAGTGCTGTGTGTTGGTAAACAATGTCACATCTTTTCCGTATAGCACTCTGCTCGTCCGGTTTGATGTCAAGGACCTCTCCAGTGTCTCTTTGCTGTAAACATCGCATTTGAATTGGTTTTCCGTTAAAATAATTATGACATATTATAGTAAACGATTGTTGACACATAATTTGTTATACTTTAAAGTAAGAAAATAAATTATAGCTTATATTATATTTTTCTCTTTTCGAACAGAGTATAATAAATACTATCATTAGTACTTAAAAACTAAAACGTTTTCCCAGATTCCCATTTATTCATTTTATTTTATCATTAAACGACAAACAATATTATAGATACTGATGTAAGAAGTGATTTATTTTTGTGACTTACAAGTTATAACTTATAACCAATAACGTTAAAATGATACAATTTAGAAGATATGTGTACAATAGAAAACACAGCTAGTGGCGAAATAACGGTAATACTAGTACTAGAGCAAATCACGTGATTTTTATGACAGCTCAAGGCGAGACAACGTGTCAAATAATATAAGTGTAATTTTATATTGTAATATTGTATACTCTCATACGGTATTATCGCCGGATATTATTAGTATTCCACAATATTATACCAAGTATTTTAAAATTAACGTGGAAAAATATAGTTAATTAACAAAACGTTTGGGACGTGATTCGAATTTTCATAGAACACGTTATACTTTATATGAATTTGGTTTTTTTTCTTCAAAATCTGGTACACATAGTTTTGTTGTAAAAAAGTAAAGAGTGAAGGCCCTTAAAAACTTCTAAGTAAATAAGTGAGTTGGTATATTATAAAGACCAAAAATATGCATACATATACATATTTGATTTTATATACCACACACAATCCGGGTAGAAAACATTCCTGTTGGTGTGGCTTGACCGAAACGCCATTTAATTATTTCTCCCGGGTGAAAAAAAAATTGTTCCGTTAGTCCGTTCATGAGATACACGTACAGGATAATAGCTGTGCTCAAGTGACGTCATGACCGACCACGAAACACAGTTAAACATATATATAATTATAATTTAATATCATAAACCTGCTCGCAGACTCCAGATAGAGGTCGTCTGTAGCCACTATATTGCCGCTGCCGGTTTGGGTTTATAAATAAAACAAAAATTCGCATCGTATTATAATTATTATTATTCACGAACGCGTTATCCGTTTTCATCTTTGCGAATGTTGTTAGGCTTGGCGAAAAACAAAACAGTAATACAACTAGGAACGACTTAATTATTGTGATGTCGAAAACCTGTACTTGGGACAGTCGGACGACTCTGAATCACAGACCTCCTATAAAACTAGCTGGGTATGATAATTACACAGATCCCAGCCGAAATTCGAGATGAGCTCGGTACTACTTTATATGAATATCTATGTTTTTAATAACTTTAGATGTAGATAGATGAATGTCTATAGATAGTTACGTGGCACGGATTGTCGGCAACCGGATTCTTCAGACCCACTCTTATTACTTGTAACAATTTTTTAACGATTAAACAGTAATCGATCAACGTTATCGAGTATAATGAATCACAGGATCTTATTCGTTTTGTTTTTATTTTCATTAGGACGTTTTATTATAAGCCAAGCTTGTTGTCTGCATACCTATACCAAGTACCATCTCTATAATAAAATACTAGATACCTAATAATAATATTGTTATGATAGGGACGTCAAACGGCTCATCTTTAATTTCAAATTAAACACGTTACACGTGAGGAGATACTAACAATATAACAACAGTTAATCATAAGATCAGATCTTCGGAGTCCAAAATTGAGTCTATTCAGTTTTTGAAACTGAAAGATAGCCGCGGAAAGTATGTGGTAGCTAATCAGTTAGTAAGTCATAAAAAGAAACAAACAGATACGTCTTTTGAGATGACAGAAAAATGCTGTAGTCTGTAACTTAGGAAAACGAGGTTGGCGTTGAATTAACCAAAGAGAGACCAGAGAAAATATAATTAATTATTTGGTCATTTTCTGCTATTGGATATCCGAAAAATATGTTATTTATTAAATATGTTTAAAGTTTATTTATGTTTTTAAAAGTGGAAGTAAAATAGTTTTCTTTATTAATATGGTTCATTCGTTTGGAAAAAAATAATCGACTTAAACTATGGATAGATTGAAAAAAAAAAACTTGTTCTATAAGCTAATGCCTTTATGGGTGGAATCAAAATGAAAAGTCGAACTCAACCGCTCTCCTCCTCTGGCGTCAATGTCACTTTTATATGTTTAGTCGGCACTTGGCAGCAACTCGAATCGATATATACCTACAGAGCCATAATTATTTTATTTATTGTAGATGTCGAGCGTAGTATTCCCTATTAAACGATGCGTCGATGCGATGGCGACACAGTTCTAGAAAAAATCCATTATAACGTCCAAGAAAAAATGTGCACGGGTTTCTAAAAGTATACAGGACTACAGTATGAATACTAACTATAACAGATCCTTAATGATATATATATACATATATTTATACTTAAATATTATTTTGTTTTAAATAATCAAAATAAAATATATATTATCTATTGTATATATTTGATTGAATATTCTATTTTTAAACAAAAACTATAACATTTATTGAAATAGAAAGTTGCTTATTGTCTTCCTGTTGTGTTTTAGCGATTCGGTAATTAATTATCCATTATGCTTTAGTTAAAGGAGGTTAATTAATCACCTTGCCAATGAATATTATGTATTGTTTTCATGATGTATTATACGTGCCTAAAGGTAGCTATTCAAATATGTGGCATATTTGTATAAACCGTCTTTAAATGCAATATTTTACTTCACCGTGTAAAAAAAAACTTATGGCCCGCCGCCAGACAGTATAATAATAAAATTAAGAAAGGTATTTTTTTTAACACAACCTTGAGAGAGTATTTTCGGGTTTATTGGTTTACACTCGTGTGTCGACCCTAATCATATTTTTTTCCACCAATGTATACCTCATCTATCTAGCAGACTACCCATATAATTTGTCAAATAATGATTGGATTACATATTCAGTAGCGATTGCCAGTAAGTGGTTTATCTTTGTAAGTAGCCAACTCGTTTTTTTTAAGGTATGAACGTAATCAATTGTTAATATTATTAAGGAAAGCAAAATTATAATTTCAATTATTTACACAACTCAAATTTCAAGAGTAGAAAAAAACAAAAACCTCGATTGTTGTTATAAATTTTTGCTTTAATAATTATGCACTTACTTACATTAACCTTTGGAGTAGGTTCATAGCAGTATCTCTAAAAAGAACTAACATACCTAATAACAAATTCCAATCAAAACTTAATATTGTTGAATGTATGGGCATGAAATGGACAAATATTTTTTTTGCAAAATTATAAAGTCCTTTACTAAAACGCCATAGACTTTGAACTTTATTAAAAAAGTGAAGACGCATTTTCTAAAATTTGGTTTTACCTACCTAGACACAATATCTACAAAATAAAAAGTTTAACAATTATTTATTTATCAGTACATGTGACGCTATCTATTGACTGAAAATAAAAACATTAACTCAGTGAGTTAAGCGGGCGTCGTACCGCCCATTTTTAAGGAGTAATGTATAGGCAATTTTTTACAAAGTCTTAATTTATAGGTTAAATTGTAATGTGTAATTATTAGTTCAATAACTGTATTTTGGTAGTTAATTTATTTTTTGGACTATCGCAGCATCCTTGAAAGCGATTTAAAAATGTTTTTTCATCTCTACATGTTTAAGCAGACTGAAAATAACTCGGTTAATTTTAGTTTTAGAGTAAAAACACCTATTATAAAATTAAAAGAAAACAATATTCCGGAGGGCAAGACTGTGCATTTTTTTCATTGTTTCAAATATAACGTTCTATACATAGTTTCGAAATAACGACTATTTTAACATTTTTAAATGACTGTAACTTTTCAAAAATGAATTTTTTTTTTTTAATGCACCGTCTTGCGGTATATTGTTCCCTCTTAATTTTATAATGGGTGCTTTTACTCTAAAACCAAAATTAAGAGAGTTATTTTCAGTTGAAATAAACATGTTTTACCACTAAAAATCACCGGTGCGACACTCTCTTAATGTTTAACCTTTCATAATTTACATAGGAGGATATTATACAAATATTATAAAAATTATTTTATGTATACATTAGAGTGGCCCTTATAAGGGTTTTTGGAGATTTAATATTTGTTTTATTAAATTAATTGTTAACTTTTGAGTATTTAGCAAAGACAAAATGTACCTAATATTTTTAATTGTAATTTATCAATCATTATATATTTTTTTTTATAATTTAATTTTACTCTAGTATAAATGGAAATAACTATTGCAAAAATGATACTAAAAACTGCAAGAATTATTTCTTGAAATGTAGTAAAATATAAAATTAAACATTTTTTATAAGTTAAAAATCATTTAAATATGATAAAGTGTTTTTGTTTAAAACTTAAGAAAATATGTGGGTAATAAACTATTTAGGTTTCTTTATGCTTCATTTGTTGATAATCTGGTTTATTATGTATCGTCTGTATATAATTAAAAATGCTTATCATTTCTAATTAATTGGTCGCTTAATAAAAAAATCTTAAAAATATTTATAACTTTTTTAATAAAATATTTATTTTACATAATAATCATTCATTAATTTAATGATAAATTTTTTTGCAATCATCACTTTAAAAAATTAATATATTTTATAAATACTACTTACAATCTATACACTTTATTAAAATTTTTTTAACTTATTTAGTAAATTATTTCTTCTCATTGCCATTGTTCTCACTCTAATCCAATATTGCTTTGTATTAGGATCCAATTGTTCAAATGGTATGGGTCCAGCTTAAAATAATAAAATAAATTCAGAAATATAAATCATAGCAAATCTAAGTTAGACAATAGCGCTAGACTTAAATAAAATTGATCTTTATACATACATGTATTAAGTTCCCAAAGCCATTCAGGGTACTCTGAATCTGGTTTAAGTTCAACGTCTTCACCTCCTTCTTTAAGAATATTACTACCACACACATATTTTACTAATTTGTTAGCATCCGTTTCAACTGGAAGTTCGGTTTTTTCTGAAACAGGACCTCCTTTTCCTAGTTTTTTCTTTGATTTTCCCAAAGACATAATACCTGAAAACAAATATGTATGTATGCTTATTAAAGGATAATGCTATACAACATTTATATGTTAATGTATTATTTCATTTAAAATATTGATAGTATTACCGACAGTCGCATATGTATTGTTTGGTGCTTGAAAACACATTCGAGCTGTATTTAATCGAATTAGTTTTAAAAACATCTTAAACTATTTCAAAATATTTTACAACTAAGAATTGTACACCGAATTATAACTCGGTATGATTGTTTAAAGATTTTTTAATTCTACAAAATGAACAAAATACATATTAATATGTAAGTTGTAACAAATAATAATTGTTCCACATTTTTTTTATCATCGAATGGTCGCCGGATAACATTGATAAGATTACCCACTACATGAACATAGGAACAATTTTACAGATAGTATGTTTGCGGTTTATACGGAATACCCTAGACCTATTCTATAATAGGTAATGAAATAGGTTTATGTGAATGCCTAATAAAAATGTTAATTGAATACCAATTATTTCTAAATCTATCTTCCTGTTTTCGGAATCCACTCACAAGCAATCATTTTTACAATCACGTTTTATTATAATAAAATAATAAACAGAATATGGAAAACATTGTACTCTATATAATATTGTGCTCTAGCATAATAAACAAAATATATTACTGTAGTTACTACTTAATTAAAGAAAACGGCTATAAATATTATTTAAATTGCCATTGGGAAAAAAATACTTTTAAAAAAACTATAAATTATGCTTAAATCATTTTAAACGATCAATTTTTTTTTTTTTTTTTGGAAATCGTACAATCTGTAATATATTTAATTACAATAAGCACAAAAGATACTATTTATGGTAAGCAAATATATTGAGACAGTAGGCTTGATAGAAGGGGCCAGCCAGTGCTGGTACTTCATGACGTGTGAAATCGTAGATTAGTCAACCAATAGGTCGCGACACCACGTTCGCTTTAGGCGCCTACTGGGGTCACCAGATAAAAGCGATAAAATTAATCCTAATACAAACATATTGTTAAATAAGTTCTAAAAAAAATTAAATGAGCCATAAATGTATCAACTTTTTGTGTGACCCAGCATTTGAGTGGTATTATAATTTATATTTGATTAGGAAACTAAATTCGAAAATAATTCATTATCGGATTACATAATATTCGTGTTTAAAAAAATTTGAATTATTTAATTATATTACATGTTTAAGTACCTATTGAACATCTAGGTATACCTAATGGCTAATGTCATAAATCATAATGTTCTATTCGCGATTATTCTGTATTCATAAAATAGCATATTACATTAATAATAATATCTATGTAATATCTTCATACTGTATATATTATTGAAAATGTATGAATAAACAACTAAAAAAAAAGCTATGCACCCTTAGAACTTAGAAGGAGTGAGCGTTAGAAATTAAAATACTCAAAACAGAAACCTATGTACAAATTATAAAGCCTGAGGTATGGACGTTGTGTACAGGATACAAGTAGGAATTATGAAGACATACAAAAATAGATGAAATTTGTGATTTATAGAGTTGCTACTCGAAGGAATTGGTCCAGTATTAAGAAAGTTACAGTGTATACAGACACAAAAAAGCCGATATCATGGTAAAACCAATAGCATCTCTGCTTTGCATCGAAGCTAAAATAATAATAGTATACAATCAGTGCAATATTGCAAGCTACGATAAACATACAAGTGTTGAAAACATTAGACGCCCTACTTATAAAAAAACTGTAATCTGTAGTCTGTATCATTTTTCTGGATAATTTTAAACTTAACCCAACCTGTCAATTTGTGAATCTATAGGACGAAAATTAACCTAACCATTATATTATAATTTTAAGGATAAGATTACAACTCGATTATAAAATCATAAAATTGGTTTAAAAAAAAAATGGCATCCTTTATTTGAGCACACCTAAATAACAGTTATTTAAGTTTTCCTGAAATTGTTGAATTTATAGATTGGACTTATCCTTCTTCTTAGGCCGGATATTTGTTTTTTCATGACCGCTGTTAATCACAATCAAAAGATTATATTATGAGGAGGAAGATGAATGCTCTACGTTCCCTTTAGACAAAATTAATTCTCATTGTTGCGTTTATTGACTTCAATGAATGCTACAGACATTTTTGTTGTTAAATAAATATTTTGTTAAGACTACAATTATATACACAATACGAATAGACACACCTTCCTACCACTTCACTAAAACTCATAAAGCGTTTTAAAATATTTCTATTATGTATTTATACATATACATATATGTATGGATTTCACTATCCGGTTTAGTCTAAAACAATAATATGAGTCCCTTAGAGCTGTTTACTTATCTTCTGTAGTAGGAATTCAGGATAGTAACTCCTGTACTCTATATTTACACATTTTTTGTTAACCGAAATAGTCTGTGTGTAAAATCCGGTGTCCGGGACGCGTTCTGGCCATAATTTACACTTTTTGCTATAATTAAAAAACATATTTATACCCTTAAAATACTGTTTGTTTGAATGGTTTAACACAATTTATATATCTCGAAATATGTGAAATCTAATACATATGTGATAAAAAAAAAAGTTTCTTATTGAGTTATCCTCAACGTTCCGAAAAAAGGACAGAGTTACTAGCCGACCGAAGATAACTCGGTTAAAATAAAAATTGTCTTCATTTGATAATTTTAGGATGTCTTTGTTAATTTGCTGATGTTTCGGAAAAATCGCAGAGTCCGTCTTTAAAGTGATAGTCGTCATTTCACCATTGAACAAAAACATGAGATACATATTTTTAACCCATGTAGGGTTTAACACATTTAAAAAAAAATTACTTTATTAACACGTTAGTCTAAAAGATCCCCCAAAAAACTTATCTACGGTGCTAACCTATTCGGTCGATTCGTGGTCTCGATTGACTAACGCCTATATATGCATAGTAGTTATCTTGTTAGGATAATTACATAGTATAGTTCATATTTCACAATAACGTACTTCCGTACGGCTTGTTATGATTTCTGTAGTCGGATAGTTGTTGTAGTCGGCATAGACCATAGTGTAAACCGGCTATTATACTGAATACGACGTGTGTTGTTAAGTATATCTCTTCTAATTTTTTTTATTATTATTACATGAATTTGTTTTTGTAACATTCTCAAATTAAGCTTAATAATGAATTTTAACTGGATTAACTGTGTTTTGTTTTTGTTAATTATTTCACCAATAATAACGATAACGTCTGGTCAATATATTAATCCTCAATTACAAATGACTCATGGCGAAGTGTGGCCAAAACCTTTTAAGCAAAAAAATACCAATGTATACCATAAAATGGATCCTGAAACTTTTAAATTTAAAGTAAGTTTATAAAATTATATTTGTCCTCATATTTTATTAAAATATATTAGGTATATTTGATTATTAAATTAAAATATTTTTTAATAGTATTATGTGGTACAATAGTAGGCAATAGTGCTTGTTTGTGATATGATTAATATTGTAACCGGTAATACTTACTAAATGTTAATGTACAGTTCGATTAGGTTTTCACTGATAAGTTATTTGTTATTTTAATTTAAGGAGCAATATAAAATATGAATGAATTCATAATTTGGTGATGAATTTGAAATAGCCTTGTCATATAAGTTTATTTCGACAGGAACCTTGATACTATTAACAAAAAATATTACTACATATATAATATACTTCTGACTTCATAATATGTTTACCAATAAAATTACAATTCAGTTTACTGCCACTGACTACACTGACTGTGGTCATTGAACTGCGAACTAAAAATTCTAATACTTATTTTGAGGATAAACGAATTGTTATGCTTTGAAAAAAACGATCTATATACAAATAAAACCTAGTTTCCTTTATTGTTTTAGCCTTTTATTTCAAATTTTCGTTATTTTTCATGTATGTGTTATTGTCAATATCAGTGTTATTGCTTCAAATATTTTTCACCACTTTTTATGGACATTTAAAAAAAAAAGAACCCTTCAATGAAAAAGACGGCCTTATTACAGAGGGACTAAAAGTTGAGATAAAAGACTAACATTTTAAGGAAACTATTTTTTATTTAGGAATCATAGAAAATTCATTCACCCACAAAACAAGGACCACCCAAATCTTATAAAACAATAGATTTTTTTAAGCTTGAGGTTTATACTTTTCGTTCAAAAAATAAATGTCTGTGTAAAGTGAAAATATGAATATTAAATACGGAAAAAAATTGTTTTAACCTATTAGTACAAAGCATTAATATTTCAATGTAATGTGTATTTTACATTTTCAACAAAATTGTCTGTTGTGTTATAAAGATTGTAGGACAAATTTGTGACGATCTTCAAGAGGCACTCAAAAGATATGATAACATATTATTTTTACGAACAACAAATAATTCCAAAACCGGTGATTTTGTACATATGTTTCCAAATTCTACGTTAAAAGGGCAATTTAATACACTAAAAGTGCAGCTAATGTCACGCTGTGACAACGAGGTACAACATCCGTCTTTGTACATGAATGAAAGATGTAAGATGTTGAATATTTTATCAAAAATACTTTAATACAAATAATAATACATTTACTAATACATTTTTTTAGATTTTATAAAAATAAAAGAAGGTACAGGCATATTATCAGCATACTCAATTTGGGGTATCTATAGAGGCCTCGAAACGTTTTCACAATTGATTACTTTAACGAATAATGGCACATTGGTAATCAGCAAACTCTATAATATTATACATAATTTATTAGTATACAAATATTAATATTATTTAAGTAAGTAAGTTCATAAATAAATTTTGTACCTTATGAACTCGGACCACAAATTTGATCACTTTTAAGAGATGCTCACGCATTGTACACCAATACTTCTTTTAACGTTCTCGTCACTCTTTTTCTTATTAAATCCCTACACCTAATACTATCGTCCAAAATGTCTGCACTCTGCACAACAATGATTGCCTTAAAATAATTTTTAATTATATACTTCTAATCGTCGTAATTTGAGATTTTTTTCTTTTCATAGTAATTTTACCGTTTCATCATCTTTTGTAACATGAACAAACCAACAAATTCCTTAATTTTAGTTTCGATGCAGAGGTGATGTTTGTTAAAATAATAGGACTAACTGTATCATGTTATAACACTAGTGTTCATCTAAATATTTCTAATCACTCTTAGTGACACATAATAATAACACTACTTATAAAGTGGTTTATAATTTGCTATAAAACGTCGTTTTTTCGTTATGCCACATAGTATGTTATTTCGATTTTTTTCTTTTAGTTTATTATCAGGGATACAACCATAAAGGATCATCCCAAATACAAACATCGCGGATACATGTTAGATACTTCTCGTCATTTCTTAAGCTTACAAATGATATTTGACTCATTGGATGCAATGGTGTATTCAAAATTAAACGTGTTTCATTGGCATATTGTAGATGACCCGAGTTTTCCGTACCAGAGCAGTTCTTTTCCTAGTCTCAGGTCTGATCTAATTGCGCCTGACCTCTTGTAGTTTTTCAAAAATTGAATATTTTTAATTTGTTTTCATGCAGTGAGAAAGGAGCTTACGACCAATCATCTATTTACACAAAGGCAGATGTAGAATGTGTCATTGAGTACGCAAGACTTCGAGGCATCCGCGTCATTCCAGAATTTGATACACCTGGTGAGTATCAATCGTCAATAGCTATAACAGTTTTAACAATTCTGGTTTTGCAGACCACACTGGGTCTTGGGGTCCCGGCGGGATTCCTGGCTTGTTGACACAATGCTCCGAATCGGATCCAACTAGTTTTGGACCAATCGATCCAACGTTAGAACAAAATTATGATTTTATAAAGACTCTTTTTACCGAAATTAAAGAATTGTTTAAAGATCAATATTTTCACCTTGGTGGCGATGAAGTTAGACACGGTTGCTGGTGAGTGTTTATGCATATCAGTTGCTGTCCGTATATAGTCTTATACATTGATTTGTTAATTTACAAAAGGGATAACAACAAGAGAATACAGGAATTCATGAAAAACAATAGCATACACGATATTTTAGAATTGGAGAACTATTTTTTCCAAAAGATCTTCAAAATAACGAACACTTTAAAAGCCAAAACCATCGTATGGGACGAGCTGTTTGACGACAAAATTAAACTAGACCGCAACACAGTTGTACAAGTTTGGCAAGGCGATTACATTAACAAGACTTTAAACGTAATATTTCTTAACTTCTAGTTCCCATCATAGATTAAATATAGTATAGATGACATCTACCGTAAATGGACTTGATGGTCCTTTTTTGAGATTTCATAATAGTTTTATCACAGTGAAATCCAGAAGTGCGGATAAAATACTTGTCGTTTGTTATACAAGCGTTGCCCATCAATTTATGCTACTATGTGTGTTCACTGTTCAATAATAATTTATTCTACGAAATACAACATATTTGTTGTCTAGTAACTATTGAGCGAATAATCAATTGACGAGTTATAACCACAGTGTAATACCAAAATGTCAATTAAACAAAAGTTATTATATATTTATATTACATATTGCAGGTTTTAAAATCTGGCCATTATGCGTTATTGTCTAGTTGTTGGTATTTGAATTATGTCAAATACGGAAAAGATTGGCTGGATGTCTACAGATGTAACCCAGGTAACTTTTCTATTGAACCAAAATACAACCACTTATTTTTGGGAGGCGAAGCGTGCATGTGGACTGAATACGTAGACGATTCAAATGTTTTGCCATTATCGTGGCCGGGGGCGAGTGTCGTAGGCGAAGTGCTTTGGTCCCATCAAACAAATGAAACGGAAGCAGCGCCGAGGCTTGAAGAACACATTTGCAGACTAAAACGCAGAGGAATACCGGCCAAACCATCTAATGGCCCTAGTCATTGCTACTATTAATTAATTATAATTAGTAACATTAACTCAATATGTAGTTGTTATAGTGACTTGTTAACAGTAACACACCTTGTTGGTTGTTACTATTGGTGGGACTATTCGAATATTCGAATACTTTATTCGCACGAATTTTCGTTATTCGAGTAACGAATATTCGAATTTTTTAATCTAATATTCGATGGGTTATTCGAATATTCGATCTGATTTTTCGAATATTCGAATATTTCATCATTTTCTTTGCAGGATTAATAAGATTAAAAAAATAATAATTAAGAGACAACTAAGGTGTCCTTGATCAATTTTTAATAATTTTTTAACAAAATAAATATAATTATAACGAAATATTCTTTTGACAAAATAAATATTATTACTTATTACAACAAATAAGATTTTAACAATTTATAAAGATATATAATTACAAAAAAACATAAATTTGACAAAATATTCGAAAATTCGAGTATTTGAATTATTTTCATACGAATAGTATTATTCGATTATTTGAATAATTCGAATAATAGAAAAATTCGATTCGAGGTCTCAGCTCTAGTTGTTACACATTTTTTTTACAAAGCAAGTCTATTTTCAGTGGGTTATAAAGTAACAATTACATTATAAATTAATTACTATAATAATTAAATTATATACCCAAATATTAATGCGCAATATGCAGACATAATTCTTTATCTACTAAACACAGTATGATCAATAATTTTGGACGCAGGACGGTACAGAATGCTCTATGCATTTTATGGTCTAAGACTAAGTTAAAAACACGTATGTATGCAAATCAGTTATTTAATTTTTCCTACCACTTGTTTTTTTAAAATGTTTTTAGAAACCACTGAGTTTTCTTATCATTTGTAGGTAAATAGGTCTTTAGCCTTATCATTTATAATTTCACAATTCACTATTCTAATCACAGACTTCTATACTAACTACTAGAAGTCTGCGATTCTAATTTAAAACTTCTATCAGAATAATGCAGTAGGCTTTTCACGATCACTATTAATTTTGTTTAAGATTTACATGGTGAAAAATATTGTAAATATTCTATGGAGTTAAACTTTGAATAATAAATGTACGATACTTATCTATAGTTACTAATATATTATAGATATTTAAAATGTCAGAATACTAAATTAAATGCATCAGAACTGCAGAAAATTACCTGTAAAAACTACCTAAATCAGCATTCAACGATAGTTGGTCTGATAAAATATCATGCTTGGGTATTTTTTCTTTTAATCATACTTTTTATGTAGTAAGTAAATTAATTAAGGACATATTTCTTAGTTGTCTAATTATAGAAAATTAACAAATTATATAGTTCTAATTTTTCAAAATGAGTGCACAGCTTAAAAAAACTGTTCATTTGTTACTGTTGCAAAAGTTAAATTATAACCAGCTCCGTTACTGTACTGCTAAAGAAAAAGATTATGCTAGAAAAATAAAAGAAAGTACCGTTGTATGTTCAAACCATTTGACACCAGAAATTAAACTGCATTTAATTACGGAACAGTGCAAACTATGGTATTCGACAAGTGATGAATGTGAATTTGAGGATCCATTCTGGGCATTTTATTGGCCCGGTGGACAAGTTATTTCTAGGTAACAATTTGAAGAGAGAGAGAAATGTTACAGATTATAAGATGAACTAACTAATTTTTTAACATTTGTTTTACTATTAGATTTTTATTAGACAACCAAAATCAAGTAAATAAAAAAAAAGTTTTGGATATTGGCAGTGGAAGTGCAGCATGTTCTATAGCTGCAGCTATGGCGGGTGCTAATACTGTTACAGCTAATGATATAGATCTCGGTAAACATTTTTTTTTTAAATTGATAATTATGTTTTATTTATATTTTTTTATTTGTTAAAATAGTTGCATGTGTAGCAGCGACATTAAATGCACAACTGAACAATGTTAAATTGGAAATTTCATCTGATAACTTTTTATTCAGTGAAGGTTTGCAGTATGATGTTATTATTATTGGTGACATGTTTTACTCAAAAGAATTAGCTGACGTACTTTGGAAATGGCTATTTAAACTTTGTGATAAAGGACAAACTATACTAATCGGGGATCCTGGTAGGCATTGTTTTCAACCTGATCAAAATTTACAGAAACGATTAATAAAACTTAAAGAATATAATTTAACTGAAAACTGTTGTTTGGAAAATCGAGGATTTTCTACAGCATCTGTTTGGACAATAAATTAAAGAAAATTTTGTTTGAGTTTAAAAAAAAAACTTTGTTGTAGTTTTTTTGTTACAAAATATATTAGGAAGAATATAATTTTTTTTTTTGTCAATATTTGCTCAAAAAGGCTTTAAATTGTGAAAAAAACATTCCTCTAATGTGTTTTCTTTCTCCCTTTGTATTTAAACAAAAAGTCTTTTACTTATGACACATCGTCGCCGACTTAAAGTATCTTTTGAGCAGATAGACAACAAAATCTCAAAATCTAAACCAAATCTGACATCCAAATTCAAGTTTAGTTTACTTACTACATTTGGAATAATTTTGTAAGTATCATTCAGCAGGTTTGAAATGTTTATCTCCCGAACATGATAAAAACTTATCAAAAGGAAAAAAACAAATATTTATACTTAACATTACAATTAATATCTTATTATTGCATTTTAAAGTTTTAAGAAGCAAAAAGTTGGATCTATGTTGATCTATGTAAATTAGGCGATTATTGCGATTGATTTAGAGGTTTTCCAAAAAGAAAATGTCTGAATTTCATACAACTAAACAATAAAACATCGGTAAATTAGGTACTTAATATTGGTAGAAATTTACGAAAATAATATTTTGATTATAAAACGGACAAAATGGCCGCCACTGCGATACTGATGGATATTTTTAACAAGCATATAATATGCTTACCATAATGGCGGACCACGCCATATACCATTTTGCAAACTGTATTCAAAACGCAAACCTATATCAATTATGTATTTGTTACAACAGTTACCGTATTAAATATTATGCCAGTGGTCTATTTATGTCTATATTTTAATGTATCGATTTGAATTTTTTTTAAAAAACTGGCAGGATTGCCCTTATTTTTCACTTGTGTTAATATCAGTTGACGAAATTTTACTTTTATGAACGCAAATATTTTTAAGTAATAAAGTATGAATTCTAAACAGTCTAATCGTCAAAATAACATTCCTCATCCATACACACGTAATTTGATTTTAACTAATGACAAAACTAATAAATCGTAAGTTGTGTCATTTATTTAAAAATTATTTTTGTTTTAAGATTTACATTATTATGCTTTTTTGACGTAGAGCATGTTTGATCAAATAAATATGTTTTCGACCTATACTCCTAAATTCTACACTTCATTTGTTAATTTGCTTGGAAGAAATTTAAATGTAGGTACTAGGTAGGTTTGATAATTGAAATGTTATTTCACAGTTTTCGAAGTATATGTTGATATGATATCGAAAAATTAAAAAAAAACTGATATATCATAATAAAACCAAGGATATCAAAGCTTTCTACTATACCTATATATTATGTACTTATTTATGATAATTATATATAATGTAAATATGCAACAAAATATTACAAAAACTATTATTATTATATATTATAAATGGATGTGTACATTTTAACAGATAACTTTATATAATATTTAGTAGTTAATAACGTTCCTTTTAATATAAAACACTTTCAAAGTTAGTATGTTAAATTTACTACTAGTTTTTGTTGCTTAAAAAAAAAAAATTGATCAAATACATGCGTCAGGTATAGCTTAATATATAAATTAAATCAATGATTTAGTATTTAAGATTATTACGTTGATTTACTTATATTTTAAACGGAATAAGCTTAAACTATAACTTGGAACTGTATTATGTTTTTGTTATTTGGTATAATAATATATTTTGTTGTACTATCAAAATCTATAAATAACTTTGAAAAGTGAATATTATTTTAATATGTCAATACTTTTAAATTGATATTTTCAATACATATTATTTACTAAAAAACCATAATTTATCATTACTAATTGAGTATAAACTAATAAAAAATATTTATGATTTTGATTTTATGTTTAGCCCAACAAATTCCAGTGCAATAAGGATAAGTGAAATAACAACTACCAGCAATGTTACAACATTTAATGTAAACAAATACCTATATTATATTATTTTTTTTTAAATTTAATTTATAAAAATATTTTACTTATTATTATGACACTAAAGTATTTTTAAAATACACGACTGTATACTTAGTAAAATTTCATAGAATCCCAATGGTGTTTCTGATATGAAACTTTTGATTGGAAACGTTGAACAAATTTCACACTGGAGCAGAAGATTGTCTTTCTTACCAGCCACAGACATAATATACCAAGTGTACGGTAAGATAATAATTAAAAAAAAAGATTAATTGCGTACTAATACAAATTTGTTCAGTATTAATAATTAATTTACAAAACAAAGAAAATTGATAACTGCACATTTTTTTTAATAAAGTCATATTTTAATAGATATTACATTTAAGAACGATTAAGTGATTTTAATTAAATTTGTTAATATGTTAGGTATTTTGAGTTCCATAAAAACTGGGAAAACAGAATGTGAGAAAATGATTTGTTTGCGTGGCCAACAAGCAGGATGCGCAATAGTATGCGTATTTTATGAAATAGATAGGAAATTACAAGCCATCGCTCAAGGAAAATTAGTTTTGTAAGGTTTCATTAATGTAAATAAAAAATAATTATCTATCCTAATACTAAAATTCTCATATTATCTTACAGGTGTACAGGTAAAGCTATAGGTATAAATAAATTTCAAATATTTACAGTAAAAGAACTTCGTCCATACGATAAAGTAGCTTTTCACAGAGCAACTGTAGTAAGTCAGTGGTCAGTCGATGAACTTTTGAAGTCTAAAAATCCTTAAATTAATTTTTATTTTATAGAAAATACATCAATAGTCTCTATCATTAATTAAAAACAAAATAAAGTATTAAAAATATGCATACAGAAATAAGGATATTAAAGTATTAAAATATATTTAATAATTAATTAAATGTAATAACTGTAATAATAAGTCTTATTTATAACCTATCGCTTATGTCATTTCCGTTTTCTTTATTATTTGCAATTCTGGAACCAAATTGCATTGCTCTCTTAGGAAGGAATGCTGTTTTTACTAGTCCTAATTTAAAAGCCGCTAATCTCAATAACAACTTTTCACCAAAATTATTCTGGTATGGATCCTTAGGCCAACATCTAAAATTCAACACAGCGTAAATAATTTCACTTTGTTTATTAGTGGTAAGGGAACATTTGTTTTACCTTTGCCACGGCATTAGACCTCTAATAAACTCTACTAGATCCTCTTCCAAAAATGGTGTACGTAGTTGACGACCGTGATCACAGCAGACACGATTGTCACGACCAAGATTGCGCGACGGCAATTTCAAGAAATCTTTTTCAAATTCTTCACCTAATTGTTTCCAGCCTTGTCTTTGTAGGATTTTACGGTATCTTGTATAACCGCCCAAAAGCTCGTCGGCACCCATTCCAGATAACAACACCTGGTTTTTATGCAATATAAAACATAAGTCGTAAGAATATTTTATAAATTAGAATGGATATCTACTTAACAATTTTTATTTTTTTTATATTTACAATTTATCTGCAAAGAAAAAAATCTAGTTTTTTAATATTTTTAGCTTCATTGTGAAACTGAGAAGGTATTTTGAGTTAAAAATCATAATTACATACTCTGGCAGGTGTTTTATATGATTTTCCTTTGCAAATGCCAATCCCTCGGGATGCAAACCATAATGAACAGCCAAGACTATCATCCAAAATTGTTTTTAATGGATAAATAAGATGCCGGATTGTCTCTAATCGTTTTTGCTTCAGCTCTGAATATGAAATATTTAACTAAATACAGAATGTACAACATTTATGCTAGCAAATAACTATGATATACATATCAAGTTTAACACATACTTCTATTAGGTTCCAACATCGGGTAGGACAGAGCTTTTTCAATTCTTCCAATGTGTTTAAACATGTTTGTCTATCTGGACAATTATAATTACCCAAGTCTGTTGGTTTTTCAAAAGAAACGTTTAACAAATCAATTGGTTCATCAAATTCTACAAAATTTGATGCTAGTAAAGCTAGTATGGCTGAATCGATACCCCCCGAAAATAAAATTGCTATTTTGGCGTGATCACATTTGAATTCACACATTTTACAAGCTTTTGGCACTATGGTTGTTCTTTTCTCAACCGATTGTGATAAAAAATGTATTAGATGATTGACATTTGTATTTAACTCTTGATCCAATAGTAAGTCCGACATTTCTAATTGAGAATTAGAACACAGGATAAAATCTTCCGGGTCTGAAATTTGAATATCTATGTGTTTAAAGAATTCTAATTCATTTGTAATATTGAAATCACAGTCATGACGTATATGGGACCATGGCAATAGTTGAGGTTCTGTAATATAAAAAGATAATGTGAAATATATTGGGAGTATAATATCAGCCGTTAATACTTTTAAGATTGCATGAGTTCAAATCAAATTTGAATAACCCAATTGCAGGAACTTCTTCTAAGTTGGCCATATCTTTGTGAGCAACAGATGTAATCACTATTTTATTTGCTTCGATGTTCCATAATAAGCTAATGCGTCCAATCGGGTCTCTTCCCACCCACAAAACTTGCTGTTCACAGTCATAGTAAATAATAGAATAAGGTCCTCGTATAGAAGTAACAAGTAATTCCATATTGCCTCCATTACACAGAAAGTCTGATATAATTTTAGTGTCGCTGTCTTTAATACTGGCATTTATCTAATCGAAAATAATTTCTAATCAATAAATAAAAAGATTTAAAAAATCAACAAAAAATTGACTTACGGGTAAATTCCACTTGTAAACATCGCCATTCCATAATAGTATGTTACCTTTGTTATCTATATACGGCTGTTTGGTCGGACACTCTCCTTGAATCCATAACGTGTTACCAGAAAATTGACCCGTGTAATTATTGACAACAATTTCATGTGTTGAGTACACATCAGGTCCTCTCTTTTGCAATGCTGACCTACATTTATTAAACTGCATACAAATACAAATGCATTATTCAATTATCAAATTATAATTATACAATTACATTTACCTCATTGCACACGTCTGGTCCCTTAACAAACGAACAAAATATACCACACATGACGGCTTTCCAGTAAAGTATAGGTCGAAGAAATTCTAGTTTTTAAAATACAAAGAACATCAAGGTCGTCTTTTGACATTTTAACGTACATTTACTGCTTGTAAAGGCATGCTAATAACTGAGTTATTACAGGCGTTTTTAATAATTCAACGATCGGTTATCTCATCAATATATAACTATGTTAAAACTTGAAAGAAAAGTGCGCATAGTGATAATAAATAATATGTTATTATTGCATTTTATCCAAATTCATTTTTTACACCAGTATCACGATTTACGCGGCTGTCACCGCAATATAGAATATTAATTATTATCATATATTTAGTAATACAAAATGTGTACAAAATCTATTTTATTACTAAACTGACATATGTTATTACTTATTATATAGTTAATACCTATTAACAATAATAAATAATATAATAATAATTATAATTAACAACGAAATTTATCTTATCACCCATCGCCGGTCGGTTTTCTTCAGAGTAATAATATTGGTTTTTCAAAATAGCTGATAACAGATTTACCATTTCAAAGATATTATAAACGAGCATATACGATTTTTGATTATCAGCGCAGCTGTTTGTAAGTCTTGGATTTTTCACTTACAGTTCGTCCTCCTAATGCAAGGTTTTTGTGAACCTGAAGTGCCAAAACGTTTTTTTATCACCCGCAGTAGAACGTTGTCCGATTTTTGTGAATAAGTAACTAAATTTGTTTTTACTACAATGGCTATGTCAACTTTGAAGACTCCAGTTCTCAACAGCATTGCAAAACGCTGTTACGCCACAAAAACGGCGGCGCTATCCGTCAAGGGACCAGAAATTCAAACCAAAAAGTTACCAAACAACACTTTGGTTGTGGCTGCTCCCTCTTATCCTACCAAAATCGGTCGCATTTCAGTCACATTCCTGGCCGGTTCGCGTTATGAAGATCCTGAAAACGCAGGTATTTCAAACCTAATACGTAGTAACGCAGGACTTTCTACTTCTTCGTCAACTACGTTTGCAATTTTGCGTAACTTGGGTCATTTGGGTGCCAACTACTATGTTAGTTCTGATCGTGAAACCATCACTTACACTATTGAGGCCCACAAGGACAATCTCATCGAAGGTCTGAAATACTATATTGAGTCTATTTCACAACAAACGTTCAGGCCATGGGAGTTGACTGACAACCAAAACCGTGTGGAATATAATTTATCGTTTACGCCACCAGAATTAAGAGCTCTGGACTTCGCACATAAGGCTGCTTACAGAGACACTCTCGGTAACTCAGTAATTTTGCCTAAGTATAACATAAAAAAATTGGGTTCCGAACATCTACTATACTACGTCAAGAAGAACTTTACCACTGACAATGCAATAATTTCAAGTATAGGAGTGGATTTAGATACACTAGCTCGTGTGTCTGAAGACTTAAATTTACCCAAAAGTCAAGATCGCAATGTGGCCAAAGCTAAATACTACGGTGGTGACGTTAGGAAAGCAAAAGATTTAAATACTACTTATTTAGCTGTTCTTGGCGAGGGTATCAAGTATGGAGACTCTCAAAGTGCTGCGTTTGCTGTGCTTGAATATCTGTTGGGCAAAGGATCATCTGTAAAATGGAATAACGGTCAAGGAGTATTAGAGCAAAGTATCTTAAAAGCTGGCGTATCTGGCAACTTTGCTGTATCTGCGATAAACCTTAATTACTCAGATTCTGGCGTTTTGGGCTTTGTGTTAGCATACAGCGGTAAAGATTCTAGCAAAGCACTAAATGCTGCTGTACAGAGTTTAAAATCCCCAACAATTACTGACGCAGAAGTGGCTAGAGCCAAGAAACAACTATTATATTCACTCGTTTCAACTTCAGAGAACGGTTCTCAATTTTTGCAACATATTACTTACCAAGCATCCGTCAGTGGAAATGTGCTTCCCCTTGAAAAATTAGTGTCTGCTGTTGAAAAAGTCAGTGTTGAAGACGTAAAGAAAGCCGCCAGCAAAGTAGCCAGTAGCAAATTATCATTAGGTGGTTACGGTGATGTAGCCAGTACAGCTTATTTGGACAGTTTGTAATTTAGACTAATATTTAATATTTAAAATCCTCAATCGTTATTAGTGGTTTGAACTTCACTGAGCCTATTGTTTATTTATAAAAATGTCTCAACCATTCATACTGTCTGTTATGTAATTAATTACATTTGTGTATTAAAATAATATGTACTTGTCATTTGACAAAATAAAATAGAAACTTAAAATAATTGTATTTTTTTTTAAACAAAATTTACAATGCATACAATTTTTATTAAAACAAATTTGCTTAAATTTTTATAATTATTTTATTGTAGTAAGACCATACGATCACTTGCGACCCTTTTTTTTTTTGCTTCCACCGGCTTCATTTTTGGATTGGTTTTGCTCCGGTCCACTAGCTTTTGTAACCCGACTTTTCAGTTTTGGAATTTGTACTCCACAGTGTTTCATTATACTTACACCTATTAGAACAATATTTTTTAGGCAACAATAAAAAGGTTGTTTGTTTTTATTTTGTGGCTAAAAAGACATATTTAATTGGATTAAATATTTGACCATGACACGGCATACAGGTTTAAAATCAACATATATATACCTGTGGCTTGGGTCTAAAAGAGCCAATGTGAATTTTGGGCATAAACGAGTTAGTCCGCTAACTGCAAAAATTGAAACATTCTTTATATATTGTGAAAAAATCACACTCTGAGGCCAAAAAATGAATTACTTATGAAGAGTTTGGTAAAATAATTAACATATGCCTAATAGAAAATAAGAACTTCAAAGCTAAATAAAAGCTCATTTTCTGAAAGTTGCAAAAAGTGAGATTGACCCTCTTAGACCCAAGCCACAGATATATATAAATATACATTTTTTGTCTTCTGGAACAAAATTTTAAATGTGGAAATAATAACTTAATGTATTATAATAAAAAACAATAGAGATAACATTAAATAAAATGTAAAGAAGATATTATATTCATTTATATAATAGAAGAATTATTAGCACATAAATAATACTGCGATTAAAAGAGAATATAAAATACGAATTGAAAGTTAGTAGAAATTGTTACAATAATAATAAAATACGTTCAATAAAATAATGAATTTCAATTAAAATAGAAAACCTTTTTTAATATTAAGCGCGTTTAAGGAATCGGATAATATTAAGTAGCACAAAAGTGAGTCATGAGTTATAAAGTCAATTAAAAAAAAATATTTTACTCAGTTGTGAAAAAATGAAAAAAAATCTAAAGGGGCTCAAAGGAGGCCTCTAGGTATATATAATTCATTATACCTATATTGTATTATAGTTCAATAAAATATTTATCATTTATTTTAAGAATATAACAGTTTGTTGTTTTAACCCATTAGCGCCTAGCGTTGCCATATGGCAACATCCAATTTTTTCTAATTTTTAAGTACACATTTTCTTTTTTTCTTTTTTTAATTCCATCAATTATTAAAAAAAAACTCCGGCATTAATGGGTTAATTGAATTAGTTTTATTTATACTCGAAAATATTGAGTACTCATTATGGAATTAAAAAAGTTTATTTAGCTTAACAAAATGTATTATCTTAATTTATATACAGACATTTTAAAGAAAAAAAGTTTTAAAAATTCGCTTATGGAATAATAATATTATAATTTAAATGTATATACTTTTTGAACTAATTTTGCTTATTAGAATCAAGACTCAAATTTCTCTAGTAAATTGTTTCTAAAGCTAAAATTTATAAAAAAAAATATCAGGTATTATTTTTTTAAACTACAAATTTTTCAATTATTTTTGAACTTAGGAAGTAAATTGAATAAGAAGTTTCGTATTCAAAATCCCTCCACTATATGTGCTACTGATTGTACTTCAGTTTGGTTGTATAAATTTAATATTAATGGATAGACATTTTCTAACTATCTGCTATGATACTTTACCACTAAAGAAACGAATTAGGAATTATTGTTCTAATTTTAAGAAGCTGATTTGGAAAAGAGAAGCTTACGTGTAGGGAATGTTTCGTTAAAAGGTGTTCCGTCATCATTTTTAAGCTGAAGTCGTATGCGACCCCTAAACGCCCATTCTTTGCTACATTCCCGCGAATACTGTTTGTTTTCCACTTCGGCATTAAAGCCAGTGGCTTTAACTACTTCGAGGATTTCTTGGTAAGTCGGATTCTCTACTGCAAACTTCTTTGGGATCACACGTCCTTCGGCTAAAGTTTTCTTGTTGTTTATATATGCAGGATAAATACAAATCCATCTAAAAAATAAACAATATAATATTGAAATATTTACTAAGTTAATTCAGATGTTTTACTTGGCTCGATCGCTTGGTTTTCTCTCAGCATAAATACTTGCCATTTTAAAGCAATTTCCAAAAATATGAAAAATGAAATAAAATTACTTTTCTATTTTTCGATGATATGGCACACGATAATAACAATTTACATTATTTTTAAGATGATAACAATTTGATAACGTGTTATCAATAATTTTAAGTTTTTGATAGTAATTTTGTTTTGCTTTACCCGTTTACCGACAAACTCCTAACAATAGTTGTTACTTGTTTAGATTATTAGGAATTCATTATTTAGTAATTAAACGTTTTAAGTGAAAATGCTTTGACAAGTTGTTAATAAACATATGACTTGCATAACAATTATTTTTAAGTTTACAAATCATTTAATATCGCACACGAAATGGCGTCAATGAGTGCAGCAAAAAAGAAACAAATATCTCAAAACGAGTTACGACTATTGATGCTCAAGCAGAAGTTACAAACGCAAAGAGTAAAGAAAAAAATTGATTCGCCTCTGGCAAAATATCCTTTTTTTATTTTACAAAATACATACTGTCATCATATAGGTGTTATATATTATTGACAACCTTATAATCGTCATCATATATTAATTTATTTAGCAGGCTAAAACTACCAAATTTAATGTTCTAATAATTATTATTTAAGGTAAATATAATAGTTAAAAATTATTGAGACAAAACATATCAATAGATAGAATGCTTGATATCAAACATATTACATACAATATAAAACTAAACATAGTCGATAAAAAATGTTAAAATATAGGTTATAAAATATTATAATCTATATTTTAACAGTTTGTATTAATTATGTTTAGTTTTAAATTGTATTGTTTGTAGTAAAAACTTTTCTAAAATGTTTATCAACAAAAAAGACTTTCTGCTTAATAAAATATACTTGTTTTAAATAAATTCCATAACCTTATATGTGAACGTATAGTAACAATGGTCAATTGTCCTGCGTTGTTTGTAAGTTGAATATTAAAGATGATTCGTTGTGGAGCGATCATATAAAATCAAAAGTTCACAAAGAAAACATTACTAAACGAAAGCCAGAATCATCCAAAGTAACTGAACGATTGGGGGAACCGATCAAAAGTTTAAAACGAACATTTCCCGTACAAGAAACCCCAACACCACCAAAGAAAATTAAAGGCATAAATACATTATTTAACTATTTAACTTAGATAGATTTTAATATTACTTTTTTTCTAGGTATATTGAAAAATGCAAAACCTAAACAAGATTCAAATATTCCTAGTGATTTTTTCGAGAGTCCCACTAAAAAAACGCTAAAAATAGTTGAACCAAATGTAGAGAAAATGGAAGAAGAAACAGTAGACAATGACGAATTAAATATTGATAAAGGAGAACTTCCTAAAGGATTTTTTGACGACCCAATGTTGGATGCTAAAGTGAGATTTTTTTAAAAATGATATATTTCAACCAAAATGTATTTTATATTTTTTGTAGATTCGAAAAGAAGAGTATGTTAGTTCAATTGATGAAGAATTTATTAAGTTTCAAAAAGAAATGAAAGAAGAGAATTTATTGTCTGAACAAATTATGGCTGATAACGAAGACGAAACAACATATGGAAGACAAGTAGAAGAAATCGACGAACAGATTAAACATTGGTCAAAGTAAGTTCTAATTAATTTAAAAATGATTCTGTAATTGATAAAAAAGTTTTTTTACTTGACAGCCAACAGATATTTTTCAATAAAATGGTGTTTTTGCAATAGATATAATTTTAAGCTGGCTTTTTTTTAAATTTTTATTTTCATTTAGGGAAAATAGAAACATTAAAAAAAGTCTTTTAATGTGTATGTCTATTTTTGGAGGGGAAATTAATGCAGATTATAATTTTTATTTTTTATTGTTTAATATATTTTTTATTTAAACTTTTTTGTATTGCTAAATAAATAATTAGTTAAAATAAATATTATATTATAATATGGGGAAAAGTAAGTTTTTTAGTTGAACTTAAGAAATCTATTACAAATGGGTAAAGAAAAGTAGTGGAAAAGAAGAAGGTACTTTTATGTTTTAAAACTAAATGAGTTAAGCTGTTGTTTAATGTTGCAGAGTTATCGAGTTGGAGAAAAAAAGAGACCAAATTGCCCAAGTAACTGAAAATATGGATAATATAGAAATTAATAACGATTCGATCGAAGAAGAAGAATCCGATGATAGTGATTTTGATGAATTTATAGATTGGCGGTCTAAAAGTTAATTAATTAATACAATTATTCTTGTGTATTATTTGTTTAACATACTCGTCACATTATTTTGAATTGTATTGTTGAAAATAAATTGTTATAGGAGATTTAATTTTGCACACCTATTTAAAAATGTTAAATTTTTTTACATTTTAAAAGTCATTGAATATGCAAGTCCATGCAAGTTTTTTATGATTCATTTTTTATAATGTTAGAAAAAAATGAACTAAGCTTAATAATTTTTTAATATATTTACAATATTGAATTTATAATATAATAACCTAACTCCTAAGTTTAGTTAAGATTAAATTTAATCCTATTAATTAATTTTATAGGAATGAGTGGTATGAATAATTACAGATAGTTTTTAAAAATAAAATCATTTTTTACATAAAATGTGTTTTAAAATTTCAAAATATTTGCTATCTCAAGCAATTTAAGTAAACAAATAATGTAGGTATTAAAATTGTTATTAGTATTGTTTTTGTCTTTAGTGTGTAGTACGTAGCAAATTTTTGTTTTGAAGTTAGCAAAATACAAAAAAAAAATGTTAATAGTTTATTTATATAGAAATATTCAATAATGATCAACAAAAACATATTCACCAAAAGTAATATGACTGTAAATGATAGGTAGTAATAGTTTAAATAAAACAATAAACAATAGTTCAAATAAAACAATTTAAAAGTATAATACATTTTTAAACTTTTAACTATAGGTTTTGGATTAAATTAGATTTAAATTATAAGATATACACGATTAAAAAGGAAGCGGAGCGTAACTATAATAACGTGAAGGAATAAATCTATGAGTTTTATTATAGCCTTAGAACGTCTAAATCAATTCCTTGTGAAACCGAGTACCTAATTAAATACCCCTTTACCAAGACATGTGCGTTATAATTTATAAACATCAACAGATTTCCCAATCATTAATCTTGGTAAGTTTTCTGGCAGGAGATTGATTCTTCCGGGGGGGGGGGGGGGTCGTCATTTGGATCATGTGTAATTTGTGAACCGCGGGTTTGGTTTTTCAAGGCATATGTTCGCTATTTAAATGTAACGTGTTTTTTATATCTGGCGTTCCCCTCGTACATAACAATATTACAAGCCGACTGTAATCAGTAGAGAACACGCGAGTACCGTTAAGGTCGACAGTAAGTTGGTTTGAGAAGCGTCGTTTTTCTTTACATCCGGATCGTGTTCGTGCCGCGGAGTGGTGATTTTTTCGGGCGGCGGCGACGTTGCCGCTGTTGTAGGGTTTTTCGTTGTCGCGGGGGGTGGTTCCGTCCTAGGTGAGGCGGTTGTGGGTTTTGTCGTGGTGGCGGAAGTAGGGGCGGTCGGCTCTTGCGTTATCGGATGTGGAAGGGCAGAGGGCTCATATGGGTCTTCGGTTGCTACGGATGGCCCGGGTTCGGTCGTATGTTCGGTCGGCGGTGTCGAGATTTCTTGATCTGTGGTCGCCTCGGAGTCTTCGGTCTCGTACGTCGATGGCTGTCTCGTAGTGGACGTCGTTGTAGATGTTTTCGGCTCAACCGGTTGTTCAGTTTCTAAAGTTTGCGTCGACAACGTGTCCTTTGTTGTGCCTGTGACCTCTGGTTGTTCTGTTTCCGCGGGGGGCGTCGTCTGAGCTGGATGACTTGTTGGATCGAACCACACCTCGGTCTCTATCGTCTGGTCTATTGGTGCATTAGTACTACTTTGTTCTTTGGTTGTTGTTGTATTAGATGGGCCTACCTCGGTGTATTCGGTTTCGTCTGCAGCTGTAGCGGGTGCTAAGGTTGTAGGTTCTTTAGGTTTGTCTGTTGTTGGGTCAGGGAATTCTGTATATTCGGTGTCTGTGGTCTGTTTTATTTCTGCAGGTGTAGCGGGTGCTAAGGTTGTTGGTTCTTTAGGCTCGGCTGACGTCGGATCTGGGGATTCTGTAAATTCGGCGTCTGTGGTCTGTTTTATTTCTGCAGTTGTAGCGGGTGCCAAGGTTGTTGGTTCTTTAGGCTCGGCTGACGTCGGATCTGGGGATTCTGTAAATTCGGTGTCTGTGGTCTGTTTTATTTCTGCAGTTGTAGCGGGTGCCAAGGTTGTTGGTTCTTTAGGCTCGGCTGACGTCGGATCTGGGGATTCTGTAAATTCGGCGTCTGTGGTCTGTTTTATTTCTGCAGTTGTAGCGGGTGCCAAGGTTGTTGGTTCTTTAGGCTCGGCTGACGTCGGATCTGGGGATTCTGTAAATTCGGTGTCTGTGGTCTGTTTTATTTCTGCAGTTGTAGCGGGTGCCAAGGTTGTTGGTTCTTTAGGCTCGGCTGACGTCGGATCTGGGGTTTCTGGAAAATCGGTGTCTGTGGTCTGTTTTATTTCTGCAGTTGTAGCGGGTGCCAAGGTTGTTGGTTCTTTAGGCTCGGCTGACGTCGGATCTGGGGATTCTGTAAATTCGGCGTCTGTGGTCTGTTTTATTTCTGCAGTTGTAGCGGGTGCCAAGGTTGTTGGTTCTTTAGGCTCGGCTGACGTCGGATCTGGGGATTCTGTAAATTCGGCGTCTGTGGTCTGTTTTATTTCTGCAGTTGTAGCGGGTGCCAAGGTTGTTGGTTCTTTAGGCTCGGCTGACGTCGGATCTGGGGATTCTGTAAATTCGGCGTCTGTGGTCTGTTTTATTTCTGCAGTTGTAGCGGGTGCCAAGGTTGTTGGTTCTTTAGGCTCGGCTGACGTCGGATCTGGGGATTCTGTAAATTCGGCGTCTGTGGTCTGTTTTATTTCTGCAGTTGTAGCGGGTGCCAAGGTTGTTGGTTCTTTAGGCTCGGCTGACGTCGGATCTGGGGTTTCTGGAAAATCGGTGTCTGTGGTCTGTTTTATTTCTGCAGGTGTAGCCGGTGCTAAGGTTGTAGGTTCTTTAGGCTCGGCTGACGTCGGGTCTGGGGAATCTGTTGGTTCGTTGTCTGTGCTCTGTTTTATTTCTGAAGGTGTAGCAGGTGCTAAAGGTGTAGGGTCTTTAGGCTCGTCTGATTTCGGGGATTCTTGTTGTTCGGCGTCTTTAGTTTGGCTTCCGTAGGTGTCTGCTGACGTTGGGTCGTCGGATTGTGGTATTTCAATATCTGTTGAGTTTGATCCATAGGAGTCTGATGTTGCACTATTGGATTCTATTACTTGCACTTGTGATGTTGCGAAATTGGAGTTGTTTTCATATGAGTTGTGTATCACTAATATTATCCAATTTTTATACTCAGCGACGCTGATAGTCATTGTAGATCCATTTTGACGGGAGAATAATTCGGTCAGCTTACTGTTGCAATAAATTGGTGCACCGTCTTCGTCCTAAAACCAATATTGGGCTTAAATTTTGCGATAAATTAATATGTTATATTCGGTCTTACACACAATAATGCTGCATTATCAATTTTAATGAATAATTAACTTAGAACATCTAACCAATATTTGTCAACTCTCCTAAACTAAATTTACCCCAAATCTTCTTGTCATTATTTTAACATTGGCGTCCCTTAAGTAGTATCTAATTTTTAATTCTAGGACACTGCCTCAGACTTGCCAGTTGCCCCATTTGTTCTTCCTTTAGGACAGGCCCATGACACACACTGGGCGACGGTGAGGTCACAAGTCTTGTGATAAATTCACTTTTAATTATACGTTTCGTAGTGAAACTATTTGATAGGTATAAGTATAGATAAATAATTTAATAAACATTAAATGGTTTTATTTAGTTTTTTAAGTTTTCCTCTATATAAACAGTGTTTACATTTTAAACTATTTTAAAATAAATGGTACGCATGTATTCTGTTTAATTATTAAGTATAGAGTAATGTATTGAATATTTTGACTGATCGATTAGAAAATTTATTAATAATTGAAGTATTGTAAAAAAAAAAAAATAATAATAGTAACTAAATTACTATTATTTTTGTGTTTTATGTTAAATTGATCATTCTGTATAAATTAAAAAAAAATCAGAAGTATCAACGGAAAATCATTGTTAAGTCAACATTCTGTAAAAAATTAAAATTTTATTACTAGGGTAGGATCAGGTTTGATCTCTATTACAATTTGTCATTACATTTTTGTCGCAATCAACCATTACGACATAATAGTTAATACACAACAGTTTTTTTTTTATAAGCAAACCATACTTTGAATGTATTATATTTTTAGATTATTTTGGTTCCAAAAAATTATTTTTTATTAGGTATGTTGTTGTTGATGAGGAGTGACCGAAGAGTAAGGCGCGCGACAGTGTGTTAGCGCTCTCTGTCGCTAGTTCGACACTAGGTCACGGGCGCTCCGTTTGTTAGATACGATATCTGTAGAATATCCCATACAAGTTTGGAACTACTTAAAAAAAACTTGTTGCTTTAAGTTATAAGTTGAAAAATATGTACATTTTTTGGCTGTTTTTCTCGATTTTGATGAGGAGGCGGTGATTTGTTCTAAATTGTTTAACTTAAAAGTACCTTTTAGGTACACTATTTCCGTCATCTATAAACTTGATGTATGAAAAAATCGATTCAGCGGCTTATGAAATATCGTGAGCCCGGAACGAAAATATAAAACTAAATACACATTGTAAAAAAACACCCGAGAAGCTCCTTATCGAAATTAAAAAGTATAATATTTTATCAACGCCAACCTTTGCTCACCAGATTAGGCGAACAATTAATTTCTATTGAAGTAAACAGTTGAGCCGCATGATTGAAACCGATAACTTAAAAACTATTGCGGCTTTCAACTTCGTTGAATCGAGTCATAACATTTAGTCGAATTGAGTACGTCGAAAATCGATCGTTACATAAAGAAATCGGCCCAGTGGTTAAAAAGTTATCGTGGATAGGTCAAGGTACAGAACTAGTAAAATAGAGTACTAAAAACAAATAACCAATACTTATATCACCAATACTTTCTTAGCTCCACATAGAAGGTAATATTGAATTTTTATGAAATTAACTTTTACCTCATTTCGGATTTTATTTACAGATTCGTGTTGACGGGTTCACGGTGAATCATAGAACAAGTACGTAGGTTGACAACACGAGTAACATAGCAAGGCTTCAGTTGAGTTATAGGTGAATTGTACACAGTAATATGAGCGCCTTTATTTAAACGGTCGGGTCAATAGTTCATACACACACTCCACTAACGATATCAATAAAAAAAGTGTGCTTACGCCGAAATAGCCGTTGCTGCAGCTTTTTCTGAGCGAGTAATCCGTTTCTGACGCTAATTCGACGGCCGGCACGTTTCTCGAGAGGTCATCAGTTTTGACCGCAGGCGTTATCTGTATGAAAACATTTTTAGAAGGAAAAATAAATAAAGTAAGAATCCAATTAAAAAAACATTGTAATACATTTATTTTACCTGGATCAACGCTATGCTGTTGGGTGTTGTAGGTTGCTGCACCGACCGGACGGCATGTTCGCTAACAACTTCCTCTGGATTCAAATGGTTTTGGGACGTTACGTAGAGGTCGTCGACGGCCCTGAAAGCCATCATTTTTTTTTTATTAATACCTAATCCGTGGTCGGTTATCGGTTCCATTCTCACTTTGGCACACAGCTGGCCGACGTCAACACCCAACTCGGATCGATCAGCGTCCCGCAGCACGAATATTCTGTTTCCGAACGACTCCTTAGCACGACCGCCTTTTCGAGAAACAATCATTAAGTAACACTCGAATGTGTGTTTGTTTGACTTACCTGACTAGTATATTGAATAGCCGCTTTGTCCAACGGGTTTGGTACTGGATTTCCGTTTGAATCTGTAAAAACCAAACGAATCGTAACGACTAAATTGTTACTATTAACTGTGGAGCGTTCCACTTTAACTAACTAAGGATATGATCATTTGTGTAGATAGAGATTGGGGGAGGGGGCGCAAAATAATTTTGCTGAAAAAAACAATTAAGATGTGCTAATTTCAAAACTATAGGTGCTTTGGAGTCGTTTTTGAGTTTCTTCGGAAAATAATAATAAGGCGAGTAATATTTTTAAATAAAATATATATTAGTTTTTATGTTTTTTTTTCTAATATGAAGTGGAACCTTCCTCAACATTCAACCTATTGATAAAGAAGTGGATTAAGCCATCAAAATAGTTATCATGGATGATGGGTTCAAGTATGAGGTGTAAATTATGTACTGACATATACAATTGCTTGAATACATGCAACTTTACCAAAAACTTTCATGTCTTGTATGTAAAAAAAGCTTTACATACAAAAAATTATATGTAACGAAAACCATGATACTATTCTGGATACTACTCAGTACTTTCAAACAAAGTCCTTTATCTTCTTCTAATAAATGTATCTTCTTGTAAAATAACGGTTGTTCTAGTCAGTATATTATAGTAATAATGTTTAATAGTCAAGATTAGACTGCTTTAGAATTGTCGGTATAATCCTAAAAATATGTAATTATAAGGACTTCTAAGATTAACATTTATCAGTACCTAATATTGCAGAAAATTCGTTTGAACCATCGAGCCGTCGAGACAGAAGACATAAAGTTCGTCTACCATTCCACATTACAAAAATTACGCAATCGGAGGTCAAAATCGACGGAATTGTGGCAGGTACGATGAAAATTTGGCCAACAAAAACAATTATTTGCTGAAAAGGGATTTTTTAGTCAAAAGGTTTGTGCGCAAAACTGATAATAATTTTATTATAAACATAATTTATAAATTACAATCTGTAAAAATAATATTTTAATTACAATTTAAAGTTCAACATTCATTGAACATACTTGTTTATCTGTTGAAATTTCAATACAAATTTTGTGAACTTTATCACTTTTAAATTTATAAATAAACAAGAAAAAAAATACAAAGTTAGCTCAACTATTTATTTAGTTATTCCACTAAAAATGTATTGTGTCCCTTGTATTGTGTATTAACTATAATTTTTACTGTATTTTTTTCTTTTTTAAAATTTAAAAAAGTGGGCTTAATCAGTATTTCGTCCACTTATATATGCAAGACGTTGTTATATATTTTATGATATAGTTTTTGTTTTCAGGCGAATTGTCAGTTGTAAACAATGTTCTTAGTCTAACTCTAAAGAAACTACGATAGTTGAGTAAAAAATATTTAACTATAACTAATTAACTCGACTGTTTAAGCTTATTAACATAGTTGGTTATCCGGTTATCGTATGTACAATAAAGTTTCGAAATTATTTATTATTGGTTTAACACAAGGTTTATTTGTAGTGCTTTCACGTGCGTGCATATTAATCGTTATAGGCAACACGTTTTTCCATTTTTTTTATCTATTTTTTATTGACGGAATAGGTAAAATATAACAAATGTTTAATACATAATATTACAAATAATAGGAAATTACAACTATGAGCTAATTTACGCAATAATAATAGTACGATATTTTTAACAATAGGGATCATTGTTAATACCACGGATTATAAATAATAATACTTAGTAGTAATGGGAATGTCCGGAAATATTTCGGAAAACCGGAACATCTAGATGTATCAAATTGAGTTACATTTTTCATTCGGATTTAATAGCATACTAATGGTGCGAGAAAATGGTGATTTTAGATTTATAGCTTCAAGATAAAGATACATGAATAAAACAAATTATAACTGTGTTTTATAAAATTAAAGGTAATGTTTAGGATTATATTTTGGTAAACAAATTTAATAACGGGTATTTTAAGTTACCAGTGCCCCTTATTTCAAATAATAAATCTACCTAAATATTTAAAGTTTACTTCCGTACATACTTTATGAACAACTACGTACCAATTTATAAAACAAAATAACTCAAACATTTGATTTCTATAGTTTCCTGTTGTCTACTTTGGTTTCGGCGCCAGATATGCTGCTACATTCAATTGGGTGTTTTTACTTCTTTAATTTGAAAAATTGAAAATTGAATGTTCTGATAAAAAATATTTGCCATTGTCAATTTGAAAAAAAAAATTTAAGTATCAAACTGCATTCAACCATAAGTAATACGTTTTTTGCGGGATACTTATTGAAACATTAACATGTTTGATGAGAATATTATCAGGTTGTTGAGATTTTGTAAGTTTAATGAGCCGTTCGAGTCTTGTATCGTAGATAAATGTTGAGCTTAATATTATACAATTAACACTTACCTCTGAATCCATGTATTAATCCGATTACTATTAATATGTGTTTGATCATTTTATAAAAATTGAGTAAAACTATTTAAAAAAAAAACCGCGAACACTGACGGCCACATTAAGCGCGGGCGGGACGGATAATAATGCACTCCTACAATTTTCGTAGTTTCTAGATTGTGGTGTGAATACCTACTGCTGTAATTATCTTTTTGAATATTATTGAGGCGTTCGATTCACCTGGCCGCAAGATAAAGCACTTCAGGTGTCAGACAGTCTGGTATTATCAAAACTAAAACGTTTGTAATCGTTGGACTGCGGCGCCCGTTCATTTGTACATTGATAAATGATAATTAATCGTGTACACCTATGTACAATACTCGAAATAATGATGTTAGTACCTAGCTACACAAATGTAATAACACATAAATCGGAATAGACAAATCACTCGAAAACACTGTCAAGTTTAATCAGAATAACGGTAGGCGTTTGGTTTTTTTTTTTTGCAACTAAGGAAAACCCATGGGAATATTGCAATGATTGCATAAATTGTTTACGCACGTAGGCTTTTTGCGTAGATAAGTCCAGAACTGTTCGTGTCTTTTACTAATAACCAAAAACGCGTTCAAATTAGTACAACAACAATAATACATTTCAAGGCGCTTCGTTGATCACCAAGTCGAGTTACTTTTAAGGATAAATAAATATTGAATAGCTCTGGCCAACCCGCATAAGCCCCATTTTAAAATGCGAATACCTAAATTCCGAGTTTGCATATAGATGTACAATTGTTAAGATAAAACTGCTCTGTTTTTCAAAAAATTGCGTCTATTGAGACACGTTTAATTCACTCAAAACAATATTGTACTGCGCACACTTAACATACGCCCTCGATAGTGCATTAGTGTTTCTATTAATTTTAATAGTTAAAGTTTAACCATCAAGTTGATATATAGGTAAGTATATAGTTTGTTTATGTATTATTTAAAGCACGACTACGATATTGTTATAGATTTTATAATTTTCGAAAAAGTGTCCATTTGCTTAAAAATTAAAACACACTGACTGTACACAATATTATAATATAAACGTTAAAATACACGTACACGGTATTACTTAAAAATAATAAAGATAATAGTAATAGTACTAATAATAGTTTAATAAGGCACAAACTAGAACGCATGTGGGGTAAACTGCGTATAGGTAATCACGTTGCCCAGTTAGTAGGTTATACCGTTTATAAGTATAACCGACATGCGTTTTTACACACAAATTTACATAATATTAAATTAAATGGAAGAGTTACGTAATTTTGTTATACCTAATACAAAATATTATACTATAGGTAAAGTACAAAAAAAAAAAAAAATTAAATAAAAAACTAATAAATTAATAAAAAAAAAAATATATATATATATATAACTAGAGAGGATATATATAACTAGAATGAGGCATTTATAATAAGTAATTTAAGAAAATACAAACTTACATGTTATGTTACTTAGAATAATAATTATTAATAATATTATTTTATACATACCTACGTTATGTCTTCATAATAATTTTATTTCAATGGATAATAATCACTAATTATAATACATTAATTATTGCTATTAAAAACATTTATAATAAAATTATTGGGCGTGACAAATTAAACGTGTATTCGTCATTTTTGAACGACTAGTTTTTTTAAATAGAATATCGAATGCTTCATACTTAAATTATTTTACCTAGTCTTATCAGGGTTGAGTTCCAGATTATATTTGCCATTTATTTATAGACGTATTTTAATAAGTCGGGACGTTTAAAGGTTTTTAATATCATGTACAAATTAAAAATCTTGCGTTATTGTTAACTAAACTCTTTTGGTTAGGTGTTTCGACCAAAAGTAACGTTTTTGGAACATTTTTAACAAAAAACATTTTTTAATCATATTAAATCAATCAGGTTCAGTGGCGTTTTTTTAGTTCTTGAAGAAGAGGCGAGCAAAAATTCTGACCGTGTGAACGCGTTCCATGAATTAGCACTTATCACATTGGCAGTCCGTAACCAGCCAGACACTGGCTTTTTAACAAACCATATCTTTTTATAAGTTAAAACGTTTTTATCAGCGATGGATTTAAGTTAATTGAATTGTAATAAAGCAAAAAAAAAAAAAAAAAATAGGAAAATTAAAATAAACAAATATTCTTGTTAAAATTCCTAAAGGTTGCATTAAGACTTTCAAAGAAAAATAGATAAATTTTATAGCGCTAATTAAATCGCTCGTTGTATTAACACAAAAGACACGCTATAAAGTGTTAATCGAATTCAGTCTGATACTCGTAAGTGTCAAACTGAAATCGCCTGTGTCAGTTGATGAAAGGCGGCAGTGGCGTAAAGGGCGGCTCAACTTTGATCACTCCGGACTCTTCCTCCCGACACTCCTGAGAATCGTCTTGACTCCTTGTTTGTGGCTGTTGTTGTTGTTGCGGCTGTTGTTGTTGATGTTCGATCTCGTAGCCCATGGCACCGACCATGTCGCCGCACTCGACCGCGTCCTGCTGCAGTAAACCGGCTATGTCCTGGTTCATGACGTAGGTGTCGACCACATGCTTGTTGAGCTGATGGTGTCCGCCCGGGTAATCGCGGTCTGGCGACGACTGATGATCTTGCAGCGATCCCATCAGGTCCGACCGGCCGAGACACTGCATGCCAACCGGAAATTGCAGGCCCGGGCTGTCTTGTGGCTGCGGCGCGTACGGACCGCCGCCGAATCCGTTGCCGTTGTGGAACGCGTTCGGCGGGAACGGCACGGAGTTGTTGTTGAGCAGGTTCAGGTGCGTCAGGTCGCCGTAACCACCCCCGTAGCCCCACGGTTCCGATCCGCTCAACGTGACCGGCGAACACGTGCCCAGCGACGGAGATACGTTGCCGCCAAAAGTGGTCAGAGTGGTGAACGAAGTCGAGCTTACCGAAGAACCCGGCGATCCAGACGGGAACACTGTAATACAATAGTAATTATTAGGAATGAGACTTTAAAATTCTAGTTTTACAAAAAAAAAAAAAAATGTTAGATAGAAGCTATTACTTGAAAAATGCAATATAAGTAAACAAATATCTAAATAAAGATACAGTACTTAAAAAAATTAAATATTGAATAAGAAAATTGGTAAATTTTCTAAAACTATATGAACTTTGATCATCAAGATTTTGTAAATTGCACCACTGCAGAGTGCAATAATTGGTGGTAATCGTACCAATGCACTTCTTGTAGTGTAAATCGAATTTTCATAATTATTTATTCTTTGTACAATTTTTATTGATTTCTCATTCAGTTTGAATTTCACAATTTTGTTTGTTTTTTTAACCTTAATATTGTCCCGAATAATATTATCTGAATAGGAAGTCAGTCTTTAATATTCAAACTAAAAAAATATATCAAAATTCGATCACTCGCACTCTAGGAAGTTCTACCCGGCACCCCTTAATCATGAAAATTATTTTTTTACCACAAAACTGAATATTAAAACAAAATATTTTGTAATAAGTTGACACGATTGGAATTCATCATAATAATTTTTTTGACAAATATTGCCTATATTTTCCCCTTAAGTCGGTTATTTTAAGTTTAATCTTTTTGGTAAAGTATTTGGTATAATCAGAATTTACATAGAGTTTTACTTTTTTTAATTATTCACAAAAAATCAGTGAAATATGAATACAGGTCCATGGGGTAGCTATAATAGTCTTACACTCCAAGGCTTGAGCCGTGTGCTAGCTAGTTACCTACTGATTTTTATTAACTAGTTTTCTGTTTATAAACAATCACTTTAAAAATGTTAAAGTAGTCAGTGGTTTTGCCGAGAGCTTTATAAATAGTAAGTCTGTTTGGGAACTGAAAAAAATTGGTACACTTAACTTAAGCTCCATTTGAAAAAGGTTACTTAAAAAGATCTGAGTTACTTATAAAATTAAATAAAAAAATGATTTATTAAATTCATTCTGGTTCTGTTATTTGGGAAACTTCAATGGGCTAATATTACATTGTTTTTTTTTTATTTACTGTTCTTACCCGAATTGGTCAGATAAACGGTTTTCCTTGGCGGCTCCCTCTTCCTCCATTTGGCTCTTCTGTTTTGAAACCATACTTGTACACGGGACTCGCTAAGTTTTAAATTCAACGCCAACTCTTCCCTGGCAAACACGTCCGGGTACGGTGCCCTCTCGAAGGCTCGTTCCAATTCTTCCAGCTGATGTGACGTGAATGTGGTCCTGCGCGAATACAAAAAAAATAAATAATCTTTACCTACATATTTAGATAACACCCAGCATATTATTGTCAATTTCTATGAACGACCGATGGGATTCAACTACTTTAAACCATTTGTACCCCTAGATTTCACATAGTGTATGTTACAATGTACCTGGTCTTTTTTTTTTTAGTTCCGTTGCTGTCGGTGTTCTTGGATTTGGACTTTTTGGGCACCGGTTGTTCGGCGGGCAAACCTATACACAGAAGAAAAAGGGTTTTAAATGGAAAAACAAAAATCCGTTGACTACATCGAGCACTTGTAGGAACTTACCCGACGGTTGTACGCCTCCCCCCGGTAAGTTTGTGTCCATTTCCAACTTGATGTGTTTCGGTCCGTTGCCGTTGGCCACGTCCGCCGACTGTACTGGTCCGCCGACGGGCAACTGGAACAGATCTTCGCCCATCTGCATCTGCCGGTCCTGGTGGACCTGGTGGTGATCCTGGAGATGGTGATGTCTGTGCATGTCCATGTCTTGCAGTTGATGGTGCTGGTGGTGGCCGTGCATGTCTTGCATGTGGTCGGCGTGCGCGGACATTTCGTATCCCATCAGGTCGGCGGGCTGTTGGAAAGCCAACAGCGGTTGGACGTGCTGGTGTTGGGGTGGCGAACCGGACTTCTGGTGGTGTTGATGGTATTCGTTGAACATCATGGACTCGTCGAACGCGGCCTCGTCCATGACGGTCAAGGGGTTGGTCTACACGACTTGTGTATAGAAGCGGTAAAAAAAAAAAATATCAAGCAAATTGAAGTAAAAAAGAAAATCCGCAAAAACGGATATCGATTTGCGGTCGCGACCGCGTGTATAATTTGTTTAGATATAATTATTTTTAATTGACACCGACAACAACCGTGTGTTTGTGCGTGAGTGCGTGGCGGTGGAGGGGGTTGAGCCCGTTAATTTCTGTTGATTGTCTACAATTGAAGCGAATGATGGGCTGAATTGGGACGGCACGCCGCCGAATATATATATTAAATAAACTTCGTTTAAGGGCAATTTAAAAAGCGAATACGGCGCGGACACCCGGGTTAAATTGACCGCACGACTTAAAGCATTCGCGTCGCTCCTTCGGCACGAACAACACACCACGGATCAACGTGCACTGCGGCGGAGACCAATAACGCGTTTCGTTGGACGTGCGTACGGACCGCGTGAAGTTCCAAGTAAAATTAAATATACACAAAACGTGCGACCCAAGTTTTTGCATTCGGCATTTCGTCGTGCGGCATATGTAAGCGTGTATGTGTGTGTGTGCATGGGTTTTTCGGTGCGTACGTGGGACGCGACCAATAGGGTCGTCTGGGAGTGGTGGGCCGACGACCAATGGCGGCGCTCCATCGGTCCCGTCGCGTATCCCTGGCCGTCCAAAACCGTCGCAGATATTATTACGTATCATTGTCCACAGTGCATAATGTACTCTAGCACGACCTGTCGACGTCCGTCGGAAACCGTGGACTCATCATCATTGAATAATGAATAATATAATGATAATAAAATATTATATTATGTCTACTATATATTATTATTAGTATACATACCACTTATTTATATTTAAAGGTCTCATGGGCTTTAATGGGTTTTTAGAGAATTTTGGTCCATTTTTTCCCTGTTTGGCATAAATGCAGTTATGTTCTCAAACGATTTCCCAATTACTTTTTTCCATAATGCAGCTTTCGATGTTAAAAACAAGGGCGAAGTCGGATTAGTCAAACTTACAAATGAAATTGTTTATAAAACCTTCATTTAATTATTGGTAGTTAAAAAAACCTGAAAGACTTTGTCAAAATAAACTTTTTATTCTCAAATAAACTGTTATAAAGGATAGTACATAATATCACACGAAGGGCACAGAGAAAGAAGGGTAGTACTCCATGTATGAAAATTTTAGAGTATAGCAAAAACAAAGTTCGTGAATTCCTCTCCATCTTACATAAGAACAAAAAAATCTCATTAAGTGCTACTCTACTAAAAAATGTAAACAATCTATTTAAACAATCTATTGACATAAATAAAAATAATTAATGGCATATATTGAAAAAAACTATTTGAAAAAAAAAATTCATAAATGGACTACTACCCTCTTCCCCTGTGCCCTTCGTATTGAATATTAAAATAATGAGCAACAAATGTTTTGATACCATTTGCAGGGATTCAGCTATCTACTATTAATCATTTTAATCAACATTTGTTGTAGTTTTAACAGATAATATAAAATTTAATGTGGTAACGTTAATAATCTCATTTCCGTATTAAAATATTATTTCGGTCAATTACTATACAGTGTTTAGAAAATTTCCATTAAAAAAACGTTTATTTTATATAGTTCAAGTTGTTTGGAAAAAATGTGAAAGAAAAAAGGCACCTATAGTCTATACACAAAAGAACATATTAATTAGGCTGAGCTTAAATTCAAGGAACTGTTATGGCAAAGGCATGTAAAAATTATTAATACATAATATCAACTATTGATCTTCCGTAAGACAAATGGAGAATCATACAGGAACAGTAAAGTATTAAATTAATATTTTATAAATGCCATGATAATGTTTTAAACATAATATCTTTTGGCTCTTAAAACAATTACACCTATTTTAATTAAATTTGTATTATATTCCAAAATTCAAACATATAATTTTTTCCCACCTCCGTCTATTTATGCTTATAGGAAGTATTATATTATGCGAAATAGATAAATAAAAAATGTAATTAATTTTTTTTTGGTGCTATGATTACGAGACTTAACAAACATTTTTATGAGTGTGCATTTTATAAAAAAAAACAATCGCAGTTGGAGCTTTTATGATAATGACAGAACGTTTCAGTATAACTCTCGAAAAAAACGTTTAAATGATAAACTATAAAATAAATATCACCTATTTATAATACAACTAGATATCCGAATTTCTATAGCGGCAATATCGAACATTTGAGTCAGGAAAATGGCCAATTTTTATTATCAGAGAGGCGAGAGCCCCTCGTTAATTGTTTACAAATTTCTACTTGAAAACATTGAAATTAGGTATGCGGAATATGACAATTTATTTTACTATTGCAAAAATATGGCATTATTTCAGTACCTAGGTCAACTATTATGAACTTAAAAGTTCTTAAAATTTATTTTACTATGATAGTTTTTATATGATCCTTCAATATCATTAAGCATAGTGTGAACAATAGGTTCTTTAATGAGAAGTACATATTACATGTCCACTAATTATTATTTTGGTAATATTATTGATATTTTAAATAATTTTATATTTAAATAGTATTTTATAGTAGGTAAGTTTGATAATGTATTACTCATACTTAATCGATATCCTTTTAATATTTTTGTTTTTCTGATTCTTTGGCCTTTTGTACAATTAGTGACAACACGTAGGAAGTAAAATTTTTATGAATGACTAATGGGATGAACTTAAAATAAAAATTCAGTAAGTAAACGAATGTCAAATGTTATAACTTATATGTTATAATCAATAGCTACATAGCAACATATACTTTATAAGAATTGTTACAATGATTTTTACATACTTACTATTTGTACGTAATTAAGTTACATATTAATTCCAATAGTTTGTATAGTTCATAAATATTTAAATTGCTCTACATGTTAATGATATATTTTTATAACATATTTTCTGTTATTAATATTTTATTTCGTGCCAAAATATTATTTAAAATATTTTTTACAATAATAAAAACTACTGTAACAAATAACGATTATTATGATTAAAAAATATATGTTTGCTGTGCGGGTTACAGTAGTTCAGTACTGTATGATTCCGGATCCCTTTCCGTAACAGTTGAACCTTATTGGTATTCCCCGTTAGAGTGGCTCATACGTTTATCTCGGATGCTTAATTTGTTTTCAAGCTTTTCATAATGAAAATTTTAATACAACCAAACTTCTTGCTCCTACTTTTATTACATATTTTTCTAAATCCCCTATTTTGAAACCGTGTAGCGCCTGAGAAACCGAACGTGTGATCTCAAACGTCGTTACCTTCGCCATCAGATAACGTTGACATTTCACCGTCCGGAAGTGTATTTGGGTAAACCGCAAAATTTGTCCAAAAAAACCCAGTTAAAATTCGGTTCGTTTTCACCAAAATCGCAATGCCTATATATATGTATAGTATAATCTCGATGCAATAAATACAATAACAATTATTGCCCACTTCTGTCGGATGGGGTGCGAGAGACCGGGCGATTAACCTCGAAAATGCGGGACGATTATAGAGCTGCAGAAGCGCCCTTATTATATTATATTTTGTGTTATTGCTTGTATTGTTTTTTTTTCGCTCTCTATACACGCACTACATAAGTTATTATTATTGTACACCGTAATAATATAGGCGATCCCGTCAAACGATAAACGTCTGTTCTGTGCCGCCCAAACGATTCCCATGTTAATGTTTCGTCACAGCATAACATTATACACGAGTGTCCATGTGTGATTAATGCGCCCTGCCGGTAAACAGTACACATTACTTTGGCCACCACAGGCAAAGCGGGTAATTTAACACGCAAAAGTCACCTCCCTCCCCCCCCCGGGCACGCCCCTGAGCCCCCTCCCCCCAAACTAGGTCGGAGGGATCATCGCAAAACACCAGGTTTATCGGTGCAAGCCATCTTCGTCTCGACAATACAATCTCGTGCTTCCGGTTTGGATCCGAAATGTCGATATACGAGACGGTCCTTTCTGTTTTCTCAGCGGTGCCAAACACTATTGTGCGCATTACAATAATCAGATGTTCATGCCCGAACACTTTTATATACTATAAATGTATATACATCAATACATGTATGTATAAACCGTTAAGCACAGTTTTTTTCTATAATTACCGAGTGCATAAACGGGTGTCGTGTGAAACGATTCGGTTGGTTATAAATTATAACACATGCACGGTTCAACGGCTCGGTTTGCTTTAGTTTTATAATTAGTAATGCCGTTATAACTTACAGACGAGTGATGACCGATGGCCAATGACGATTATTGTGATAAAAATGTATGCGATTTAGCGACTTTACAAAACGCAGTTATGCTCGGCTAAACTATGAAAAGGAAAAAAAAACTAGCACCTCTTTAATCCCTTTGAGTAAAATTCGGAAATTGCTATTTTTAAATGATTACTAATAATTAATATATCAGCATAATTAAAAATATTCAGCATGGATTTTTTATCAGCCAGTGGAAAAGCAGTTTAAGGTTTCTAATTAAAAAGTTATAACAATAACGGTTAATTTTTTATTAATTACTACTTACTGTTATTATTCGTATAATATTATCTACATGTCAATTAAAATTAAACTAAATAAGGTATATAATCAAGATAAATATATTAATGAATTAATAGAGGAAAACAATATAAATACATTTAAATTTTATCAAGTACTAGTGGCAGAAATTAAACTGTTAATGTGAAATATAACGCAATTTTTTAACGATTACGTTAAAAAGTTTTTTTTTATGTTAAAAACAAATGTTTTATTTTATTTTTTAATTGATAAACAATATTATTAAGTATAATATAAATGGTTAAGAAACATTCTCTTGAAAGGGCGGGGGGGAGGTGCAGCGTTTGGCCTTAATGGCTCGTTAAGCTGTACAAAACGGTTTTAACATATACCGATGTATTCTGATGTGAGAAAACGCATTCAAATTTAACTAAATGTTTTAATTATTAGAATAACTATTTATAATATTTCAAAGTAACAATAATTTTAGTTTGTCCAACTATATATGAATCACTAAATACAGAAAAGGCACATGTCCACTATTTGTCAAAAATCACTTTTTACAATATTAAATTTAATATTGATAAATACATGCTTTTGTGCACATGTCCTATTTTTCGTCCAAAATTTCAATAAAATAAAATATTTGTGACTCATTATTATCAAATAAACTACTGTACATCATATTAATGTTATTTTTATTTATGGTAATAAAAAAGCTACTTATTTATAAGAAAATGTTATATTCTTAGTAAATTGAAGCATAACGGCACATGTCTAAGACCTTAAACATTTTTATGTACTTAGAGTTTTATAATATTTCTCTAAGTGGGAAGTGGTTATAGAGCCATGTATATCATGTCTTATACTAAATTATTTTATAACATACAATTTGCAATTGCATTTTTTCCAGACCTATTAAGTTTTCTGTCTCTCCTGAAAAGTTTTAGAACTTGTACCCTTTCTTTATTTAGCG